AAGATATTACACTGTGAATTTGATAAGTTCACAGTGTAATTTCAAAATTCCATTATAAGTTTTAAAGTACAATGTAAGATCCATAAGTATTAACTTTGAATTTCATAAGAAATCACCATAATTTAAACTTTCAATTTTAACATCCCAGATAGTCACCGTTGTACAATCATAGCACAGGACACACATTAAAAACTAACAGGCATATTCTTTTAGCCTATGTAGGCCAGCCAACAAACTTCCGTTGGCCCATATTGCTTGCATGTTAACCCATCAACTGTAGGCCCATGTCCGAAGGACAGTTGGCCCATGAAAACACACAGATCTAGGGATGGCAACGAGGCTGCACCCGTCGGGTTCTACTACCCCATCCCCAGAGTGAGAAAAATATTCCGTCACCATCCCCATCCCTGCACACGGGGAAGATTTCTCCTCGTCCCGTCCCCACTTGGGTAAGAAGCACCCGCTGGGTGCCCATCCCCGAAAATTATCAGCAACATCAATGCTATACGGAAGATAGAAAGCAGCAAGAAGCATACCAATGCTATACTCCCTCCAGTTTCATTTTAATTGATATTTTAGACAATGACACGGTTTACAAAATATACCTTTGATCTTATTTTTCTATTATAATATATATAATAAATAAATGCATGTTTATTTTTATTATAGTGTATCTTATTCTAGTTTATGTAAACTAAATATTTTAAAAGTTATTGATGGTTAAAATTATAAAAGTTTGACCTTAACCTTGTCCAAAACGTCAATTATTATAGAACATGCAGCAATAATGATTTCATTTAGCCATCGGCAACAACAATACATGGCTAAACACTAATGTACACAGAGTTGCTAGAAATATGGCGCCACTTTTTGTGTAAAAAAATAGTCAATTTTTAGACCCTAGGATATGTTTCAAGATTCGTGCGAGTGCTCTCCAAGAGAAAACACGATCGATAAGTTACAGCAAAAGGCTTTTGACCAACTGAGCACAAAGATGGTACTCGTTCTTTACTCAAAGTAATTATAATTAATAAAAATTACACTATAGTAACTTACATGCCACTTACATTGTAATTACATACTAATTACATATATAATTTTAGGACTTACATATGTAATTTTGAAACTTACAGTGAAAATATATTAAAATTATATATGTAAATTTTAGGGACTTATAATGTAAATACATATCGATAAAAAATACGGTGCCATGTATATAGATAGTCCCATAAGAAAAGTTATGGTGAGAAATTGTGTTTAATACTATAATTACACTGCACTTACACCTTACTTACATTGTAATTTATATTAAAATTACACTGCACTTAAGTGTAAATTTTGTGATCGCTAGTTTTCTATCTTAATTTAATTTATATTGTGTATTATAATCAAGTTACTTATTTGCTATATTGCCACGGCTCGTTAATGGTCAACTTTGTGTTTGAAATGGCGGTAATCAGTGTGAAGTCCAATCCGAGACTAAATTTTGTGGCGTCATATATATAGATGGACCCGATGAAAATCGTACTTTAGCGTCAACAATAACTAACGGGGCTGTCTATATATCATGTGACGGAAAATCTCACCTCCTATCATTCAAATTTTAAACCATTGGATGTGCTTTAAGATTCATGCAGCCCCTTAACCCTCACTCCTCCTCCTCCTCCCCCGGTTTCTAGATCACGCCGCCACCCTCCTTCTCCCGTCCCACGCGCGATCCGCCGCCGTCACCACTGCCACCGCCCCACCGCGCCGCCGCCTGCCTCGTCGGCTGGCCGGAAAAGGTCAACGGCGCCGGGGAGGGCCCCCCGGCGAGCCCCCTCCCCCTCCCCCTTCCCCCTCCCCTTCCCCCCTCACTTTCTCCTCATGGCGGCGACGATGAGGTGTCCCCGTCCCACGGTCTTCCCCGTCTTCGGCGGCTCCCCGCCGCCGGATCCGCCACCTAATCCCACCCTTGCTTTACCCCCACCGCCAACACCGGCCCACTGCCCTCCTCCATCCCCGCGGCTTCGGCGCCGCCGCCGCCTCCTCGCCGCCCGCCGGAGTCCACCGCCCACGGCCGGTCCTCCGCCGCTCGCCGGAGTCCACAGCCCACCGCCGGTCCTCTGCCGCCCACGGCCATCCCTCTAAGCCCCGAGGAAACCCCCTCTTCCCCCTCCCCCATCCCCCCTCCTACCCTCACTCCAAACCCTAACCCTCTGGAGTCGGGGTGTCGCTGGCGCCGGAGAAGAAGGGGAGCCTGTCGGAGTTGGAGAGAAGCCGATGCACGAATCTTGGCATGGATCCAATGGTCTAAAATCTGTAAGATTTCATCCCCAAATTTCATTTGAATGCCATATAGCAATCCCGATAACGAAAATCTTTGCGTAAATGTGTTGGAGTAGGTGACACCGTGACAACAGCTGAGCGGTGGTGCTGCTTGGGGGTGGCGACTATAGTTAGCCAAACAAGCGGCACGGCCCAGGCATGGCATGGCCCGACCAACACACCGAGCCATGCCGTGCCGGCCCATGGGCTGCACCACCGGCCCAAGCACGGCCCACCAGCAGTCGGGCTATGCCAGGTCGGCCCGAAGGCACGGGTGGCCCATCGTGCCTTTTTTAAAATAATTCTATTTTTTTCTCCCTTCTCTTTGGGCTGTGACATATATATATATATAGCTAAAATAAGTCTATTTTCCCTCCCTTCTCTTTGGGCTGACATATATATAGCAAAAATAAGTCTATTTTACATCCCTATTCTTTGGACCGTGGCATATAATATGTCTATTTTTGCTCCCTATGCTTTGTGTGTTGGGCTTGGCCTGTCGACCCATCGTGCCGTGCTGGCCCAACGTGCCGGTGGGGGGGGGCCAGGCATGGCCTAGTGGCCAGGCAGGGCCGGCATGGGCCCGACCCCCGTCGGGCCGGGCCATGCTTGGGTCGGGCCAAAATATCGTGCCATGGACCGGGCCGTCGGGCTTCGAGCCTTATGGCTATCTATAGTGGCGACGGTCGCATGGCGCGGCGCGGTACCCCGGTGTAGACGACGGTGGCAAGGAAGCAGCGGGGAGGATGAGATGAGGAGAGTGGAAACATGGGACGGAGGACGGGATGCCGCACCGGCGTGGCCTGAGTCGTTGAAGTGGCGATGGACTCGAGCAGGCAGAGGGTGGCGGCCAGATCTGGGACATGGATAGGGTTCCTAGTGTATGTGACCTAAGGTTTTCACGAAACATAGGCTATGTTTAGTTCCACGCCAAAATGGAAGTTTGACTAAAATTGGAAGTTTGAAGAAAAAAGTTGAAGTTTATGTGTGTAGGAAAGTTTTGATGTGATGGAAAAGTTGAAAGTTTGAAGAAAAAGTTGGGAACTAAACTCGGCCAATGTTACGGAAAAGTTAAAAGTTTGTGTGTGTAGGAAAGTTCGATGTGACGGAAAAGTTTTTTCTTCAAACTTTCAACTTTTTCGTCACATCGTTCCAATTTCTTCAGGCTTCCAATATTAGCGTGGATCTAAGGGTGTGTTTAGTTCACGCCAAATTTGGAAGTTTCGTTGAAATTGGAACGATGTGATGGAAAAGTTGGAAGTTTACGTGTGTAGGAAAGTTTTGATGTGATGGAAAAGTTGGAGGTTTGAAGAAAAATTTTGGAACTAAAGTCGGCCTAAACACAGCCATGGTCTATTAGTTTTGATCCTGTTTTAAAACTTATTAGTTTACCTTAGCTTTTATTTAGTTCCACGCCAAAATTGAAAGTTTGAAGAAATTAGAACGATGTGATGGAAAAGTTAGAAGTTTATGTGTGTAGGAAAGTTCGATGTAACGGAAAAGTTAGAAGTTTGAAGAAAAAAGTTAAAATAGTTTGGAAGTAAACTCGGCCCTTGTTTAGATTCAAACTTTGGCCGAGTTTAGTTCTAAACTTTTTCTTCAAACTTCCAACTTTTCCATCACATCAAAACTTTCCTACACACATAAACTTCCAACTTTTCCGTCACATCGTTCCAATTTCAACCAAACTTCCAATTTTGGCGTGAACTAAATACACATTTTTCTTCAAACTTTCAACTTTTCCGTCACATCAAATGTTTAGATACATGTATGGAGTATTAAATGTGGACAAAAAAAAACCAATTGCAGAGTCTGTATGTGAATCACGAGACGAATCTTTTGAGCCTAATTACGCCATAATTTGACAATGTGGTGCTATAGTAAACATTTGCTAATGACAGATTAATTAGGCTTAATAGATTCGTCTCGCATTTTACAGGTGAAATCTGTAATTTGTTTTGTTATTAGTCTACGTTTTCAAATGTGTGTCCGTATACTTTAAAAAATTTTGGCACACGAACTAAACACGCCACAGGCCGTGTTTAGATTCAAACTTTTTTCCTTCAAGCTTCCAACTTTTCAGCACATAAAATGTTTGGACACATGCATGGAGCATTAAATGTGGACCAAAAAAACAATTGCAAGTTTGCATGTAAATCACGAGACGAATCTTTTGAGCCTAATTACACCATGATTTGGTAATGTGGTGCTACAGTAAACATTTGCCAATGACGGATTAATTAGGCTTAATAGATTCGTCTCACAGTTTACCCGTGGAATCTGTAATTTGTTTTGTTATTAGTCTATGTTTAATACATCAAATGTGTGTCCGTATACTTAAAAAAATTTTAGCACAAAAACTAAACACAGCCCTTATAGGAAAGTTAGATGTGATGAAAAAGCAAAAAGTTTAAAGAAAAAAATTGGATTCTAAACAGGCCCAAACCAAATATCCTACCATGAACACAGCGTCAAATTTTGAAAAGGGAGGAAAGTTAATATGCAACTTTTGCATGGCTGCATGTCAAACCCGTAACAGTCCCCTTCCTTATTTAAAATAAAAGAGAAAAAAGAAAAAGAAAATGTGAATAAATCTGCAACGTTCACCTGTGGAGTCCGATCCAATCCAAGCCGTAAATACGAACGAGTCTTCCATCGGAAGGAAACCCGCCAGAGAGAGAGAGAGAGAGAGAGAGAGAGCGCAACGGCCTCCTCGCACCAAATCCGCCGTCTCTGCGGCTCCTCTCCTTCTCCTCCTGCAATCCAACCGCCCTCAAAAATACTTGCAACCCCCACTCATCGTCTCCCCTCCCCGTCTCCACGCCATGTCGTCGTCGTGGTTCCACTCCTCCTCCTCCTCCTCCTCCTCCTCCTCCACCCACCACCACCACCGCCACGTCGTCCACCACGCGTCGACCTACTTCGACGGCGACGACGACGAGGGCGACGTCAAGCCGGCGGTGACGCAGCACTGGCGTTACGACGCCCGCGCTGCGGCCTCCTACGGCGGCGGCGAGGATGTGAAGCCGGCGGTGGTGGTGAAGCAGCCGCCGCTGCCTCGCCCGAGAGTGGGAAGGGGTGTCCACGACCGCGCGGAGGAGACCACGGCGCTCTCGTGGCCGGTGGTGGAGCCCTTCAGGTCCACGCTCCGCACGCAGGAGTCGCTCGCCGGGATCCGCGCCAGGTACAGCGTCCCCGAGGGGTTCGGCCTGCACCCCGCCGGGGCCAACCAGACCGCGTGCGCGCCGCCTCCGGTGACTCCGCGTGGCGGGCGCGGGGGTGGCGCGGCGGCGGCGGCGGTGCCGATCTGCGTGTACGCGCAGGCGTTCGCGGCGGGGATGCGCCTGCCGCTGCACCCGTTCGTCAGCGACGCGCTGGCCCACTTCGGCATCGCGCCGTCGCAGCTGGCGCCCAACGGGTGGCGCGTCCTGGCCGGGTTCGCCGTGCTCTGCCACTTCCGCGGCGTCGGCGCGCCGTCGCTCCCGGTGTTCCGCCACTTCTTCACCCTGGCGCCGCTGCCCAAGGGGAAGGGGTGGTACTCCTTCCGCGCCAGGGAGAGCGTCCCCGCGCTGTTCACGGGCCTCCCGTCCTCCGTCAAGGCGTGGAAGGAGGAGTTCCTCTTCGTCTCGCCGCCGCCCGCCGCGCCGTGGCGCTGCCCCGTGCGCTGGGGAACCCCGTCCAAGGAGGCCACGAGCGACCCGGCGCTCACCGAGAGGGAGGCCGCCGTGGCGCGGCGGCTCACGCAGGGCCAAGGCGTCGTCGACCTCAAGACCTACCTCTCGGAGAGCAACCTCGTCGCCGCCAAGATCAGCAGCGCCCCGGCATGTCTGGGAGGTACGGACGGACGATCAAATGCCACCAACAAAACGTACATCGGATGGTGCAGATTCCTCAATTGCTCGATTGTTTTCTTCTTTCTTGCTTCCAGGGACGGAAGCTTCACGGGGTTCGTCGGTGGCGGCCGGGAAGAAGAGGAAGGTGCTGGGCGATGGCGTCAGCACCGGCGGTGGCGTGCTTCGGTCAGAGCTGCAGGCGAAGGACAAGGCTCTGGCCAAGGCGCAGGGAGAGATCAGCCGCCTGAAGGCGCAGCTGGGGAGCGCCAAGGCGAGGGAGCTGGAGGAGGCGAGGCAGGCGTTGGAGTACGAGCGGAAGCTGGGGACGCAGGTGCTCAAGTCTGATGGCGCCGCCGCCGGGGCCAGCAAGCGTCGCCGTGGCGGCCAGTGATCCACGTTCCGCCGCTGAACGCCGCCGGCCAGCGATTCGGTGATGTGCTAGGTATTTACTAGTACTACTACTACTTGCCAGGATAATGAGTAGCTTTGCGGAGTAGTGTTTTAGCAAGGACCTTTCATGTTTCTTCATAATCAGCATCAGCTGTGACAGACAGTGCTGATCTTGGTTGGTATCATTTCGCAACAAACTGCTAATGGAAAATCTGTTCACAGACACCAGGTGATGTTATGAATCGCAATCTGCTTAGTTTATCTACCATGTTAATTAGCAGCAGAAATTGCTAGCTACTGGAATGATCATGGGTATGAGGGTATCCCACTAGTTGAGCGAAATGAACTAAATACATAGATAATATGCATCAGAAAGAACACATTTTATAGCTGATCTTGTAAAACAAGAGCAAGGTCAAGTTGGGTAACCACAAGTGAACCGCGCCCATACTATCGCCAAATATCCCTGCAATCTGCCATCTTCCATGAACACAACACGAGCATCAGGCTTCTAAAAGATGGTATTTTCACAGCAAAGGGTCATTATAATGTTATTCCACAAGTACAAGGGTAGATTCTGCCAAAAATATTCATCCAGTTGCAATCAGAAAGTGTCCCCAAAAAAACTGCTTGCTACCTTTTTTCTTTGTACATGTTCAGCCGAAATGTTACTACAGTAATTGCAATTCAATTGGTCCATATTTGCGCTATACAATGACACTACAGCTCAAGATGAGAAAACTAAATGCCCACAAAGATTATCCAATTGTATGTACTCCAAGATTTGGCTAGTGCATTTGCACGGTCCACTCCAGCTACCCTTTACTCTTATCATTGCTAGTTGATTCGTTGTCACTTGTTGAATCTGTGGAGCTATTAGATGATGCCATTGTGTTGGACTGCTCACTGATTTTCTCTGCAGCGCTGCTGGAATTGTCATCGCCCATGATAGAAGCAAAAGTGAGCTGGAGACCATAGAGTACTAATCCAATTGAGTTGATTCCAAACACAAATGTTGCTAGGTAGCATATCCCATTTATAATTGTTCTGCAGAGAAAACGTGGTTCATTCATTAGATAAAAGGATTACAATATATAACAAACAAGAGAACAGTGAATGAATGGAGTTGTACCTTATTGTTATTGTTATTTGACGAACCTGCAGAAAACAAAAGGAGGATTCCATTAGATGAATTGTGCTAGTTACAAAAAATATGACGAAGACTGAAATTCAGTTCCTCTGTAAGTATATGGAAAGTTGGTAGCACGAAATAGCACATTTTACGGTGCATAAATGTGTTAACCGACCCACGGGAGGACAACAAGAAATAATTTTTGTTGCAGCTCTCTTAGTATTTGTTCCCTGCATCATTGTTGAATTTGTATGTGTTGGTAAAACACAACAATAATTTGCATTTTCCATGCCTTATTCTCCATTTGTGAAATAATATTGAAATGGGATTCAATTCCTTGCTGTAAACTTCAAGGCACATTGGCGACAAAAAAATGGATGGTGATTACAGCAGACAATTACTCAAAGCATTGCATAGCAGTAGCGCTAACTTCTACTAGACCATTAACGAAGGATAACAAGAAAATGGCAGGTAATAATACAAATGAAGCAAACTTCAAGTTGGAAAATTCATTTGAAACCAAAAAAATGTCAAAAACAGCATAAGGTAGAGGGGTTCAAATTGCTCAAAACTAATCTGCAATCCTTACAAGAATATAGAATTATTCCCACAAAATAAGTGTTACCACACTGAATTATGGTCCACACTCCACACTTCATCAGAGCTGCTACGAAAATTGAAGTGTCGACCTAGGGCTGTGTTTTGTTCACCACACCAAAATTGGAAGTTTGGTTGAAATTGGAATGATGTGATGGAAAAGTTGGAAGTTTATGTGTGTAGAAAAGTTTTGATGTGATGGAAAAGTTGGAAGTTCGAAGAATTATTTTGGAACTAAACACGGCCTAGATAACATAGCCGCACAAGTTTCATCGGCAAACTTGGCCTGCAATAAACTATTTTTGTTGAAGTCTTTATCACTTACACTTTCAGCCTTTGACCAGAAAACTGCATAGCTCTAACACAACTTCACTTGTGCCGTGTTTAGTTGTTTTGGCAAAAAAATTTGACGCATACGGACACACATTTGAAGTATTAAACGTAGACTAATAAAAAACAAATTACAGATTCTGCCTGTAAACTACGAGACGAATCTATTAAGCCTAATTAATCCATCATTAGCAAATGTTTACTGTAGCGCCACATTGTCAAATCATGGCGTAATTAGGCTCATAAGATTCGTCTTGCAATTTACATGCAAGCTGTGTTTTTTTGTCCACATTTAATGTTCCATGCATGTGTCCAAACATTTGATGTGACGAAAAAGTTGAAAGTTTGAAGGGAACTAAACACAGCCTTAATGGTTTATGTAAACCAGCATTCATTGTCCACTATGATATATTGAATTATCATCCATGTGGTTAGTTCACAACCTTTATTAAATTGTCCACGACTCCATAAAATTTATTTGTAGCTATTCACATAGGTTCAATGGCGCATAGACATGGCAAACTAGTTCCAAACAATGGCGTATATACAATTATACATTTATTTGTCGGAACAACAAAAGGATTAACCGATAAAGTGAAGTCTGACAAAAATCAAAGCAACACAGATACTTGTCATCACAGACACAATCGGACACATACAGCACAGCCTCAAGATCCCTGTTACTCATGCTAGATTTCCTCCAAAACTTATATGAATTTGGCAATTCCAATGGAAGTTCAAAGGGTTCGGTCCTTTGTTCCAAAGGAGAACATAGGCAAATCTTCCTAAAAGGATATTCATATTCTAAAAAATTTCTCAAAGAAACCTTAGTTTGAAAGGAGCCCTAAACAGCCTAAATCAATTTAATGTGCTGTAAAAAAAACATGTATATTGTTGCAACAAGAAAAATACTAAAATATTGTGGAGGGGGAAGAGAGCTGACCGAGAAGCTGTCGGAGATGGTCTGGCGGTTGAGCGCGGCCTCGATGGTGGTGGTGAACTTGTAGAGGATGAGCGCGATGACCCCCGCGGCGATCCCGCCGAGCAGCGCCTGCACGGGCGACGGCGGCTTGTCGACCTCGATCGGCGACGCGCTCACCAGCCTCAGCCCCTCCAGGGCCTCCTTGCTCAGGTTGTTGGGCTTCTCCACCCCGCCGGACCGAACCCTCTGTGTCACGGAAGCAAAAAGGATTTTTAGACCATTTTTCTCCAGTCGAGAAAGCGCAGCGCAGGTGGATGAGGAGGGAGGGGATTACGAGCTCCTTGGCGCGGCGGACGCGGCGGCGGATGGAGCGGAAGAGGAAGACGGAGATGGCGCCGGTGAGGAGGACGCTGGTGGCGGTCTGCAGCGGGGTGGGGTTCTCGTCGATGGAGAAGAGCGTCGGGGTGCGGAGCTCCACGGGGCCATCTCCCTCGCCGTCGTCGCCCGGGGGAGGCTCGGCTGCCGAGGTGGACAGCTCCGGCTCGGCGCGGACGGCGACGGAGCGGCGGAGGCGGAGGGCGGAGGCGGAGGCGGCGGGGAGGAGGTCGCGGGACGGGGGGAGGAGGAGGCGGTGGCGGAGGAGGAGGCGCGGAGAGGAGTGGAGCAGCAGCATGGTGGGAGTGGAGAGCTGCTTGGCGGTGCTCGGGGAGAGAGTTCAGTGGATAACGAACGGGTCGGGCGAGAAAGGGTGTGATGAATTATTTTCATTTCTAAATTTTTATTTTTTAATATTTACAGAAATATTATACCATTTAAAATATTTACAGAAATGGCCCCCCTGCCGCCAAAGTGGAGAGCGGCAAGGTGTGCACATTTTTCATTGAGGTCTCTTGCCGCCCTCGTACAAGGGGCTAAATGCAATTTTCGCCATGTTAAAAATGCATTTTGCTAATTTTTCTTTTGCATCTCGGCTGTCTCTCACGTCACCCTGGGTCTATTTTTGTAAATATTTTTGCCGGTATAATATTTCTGTAAATATTAAAAATAAAAATTTAAAAATGAAAAAAATTCAGGTGTGATCGGTAGATGGGCTACTTTGATGGACCGAGGCCTTCTCCATCGTTTCTTGGTGGTGGCCTGGTGTGCGTACGGTGGGGGTGGGTGCTAAGGGACGGGGAACTGACGGAAAGTTGGAGAAATAAGTTTATATTGACTCCCTCAACTCATGCCCCTCATTGAATCGCATCCCTCAACAGTAAAATCGGGTATAACCCATTGCAAATCGACTCCCCGAGCAGTTTCGAAGGTGGTTTTATCCCACGTGGCATCTTTGCCTCCGAGCAACGAGGTAAGGAATAAAACTGCAGACGCAGTTGAACGGTGGTCAGGCTAGCTCCTGCAACAAATTGGTATTACAATGTCCTAACCACTTTCATTTCGTACCAAGGAATCTAATTAAATATTATAAAATCTATGTGCAACCTTACAAACTATAGTCCAAATTGGTGGAAGAAGCCTTATGATTCTATTTTCTCCGTTTCATAATGTAAGTCTTTCTAGCATTGTACATATTCATATAGATATCAATAAATCTAGACATATATGTGTGTCTAGATTCATTAACATCTATATGAATATGGGTAATGCTAGAAAATCTTACATTATGAAACGGATGGAGTATCTCTCAAGCAGATTGCTAGGGTGGACATCTAGTCAAACTATAGTGAGGATAGGCTCAAAGTTTAAGTCTAAGAGCCTGTTCACTTTGATTTGATGTTATTTTCAACCTTACCAAGTTTTGGTAAAGTTGCTAAAAAATTGGCTACATTTAGTTTACTGTCAAATTTTTAAATTTTGGTAATTATATAAGAAATGCTGTCAAAATTTTGACAAGTTGTCAAAATTTCGGCAACTATGCCAAAGTGAACAGGCCCTAAGTCAATAAAAGCAAAGTAAAGTACGTACCTTTACCTACATCGAATTCAATGTTAACATAATCAAATAGAAAAGAAAACGGAGGAGTGCATTGCCAACATAAAAGTGCATTCTTGATTAGCAAGATACTAGAGAAAAATACAGAATCCTCATTGGTTAGCACAAGGCCATTAGCTAATTAGCACAAGGTTATTAGCTAAGGAGCGAACGAGATGAGCAGAGTAGCAATAATAGACTAGAACCAGTTGACTTGCCCATGCCAGTGACTTGCGCCTGCATTCTGCTGGTAGCCTAATGCCTCGGGCACTCTCCCCTGTGTGGTCGCATCGCCACCTCACACCATCTGCCTCGTAGATTTCAGGCATATAGCCTCCATCCCAACCCTAGCCCCCAAATACCAAATGAATGAGGGGGGTTCCTGTTACACGCTTAAGCGCTAGCATCAGAGGCAGCGCGCACTTTCACGGCCCTAAGAGCGCTTAGCGCTGTTTTTTTTTTATAAGAATGCGTATGTTTCTTCCCTTTGTTTAATTAACTGAAACAAACTTTCAACTTTGATTTATTCAAGATTTGGAAACTTTTCAACTAATATTTGAAAACTTTCAAGTCTAGATTTGAACTTAGATTTCAAAATTTTCAAGCCAAGATTTTAATACTTTCAACTTAAATCTAAAAGTTTTCAACTCTTATTTTAAAACTTTCAAATCTTTATTTGAAAAATTTCAAGTCAATATTTGAAAACTTTAAACTCAAATTTAAAAACTTTCAACTAAAGATTTGAAAACTTTTAACTCAGATTTAAAAACTTTCATCTCAGATTCAAAAACATTCAACTCAAATTTGAACACTTTCATCTAAAAACTTAAAAACATTCTTCTCAAATCTTAAAAACTTTCAACTATTTAAGTTAAGATTTGAAAACTTTCAACTCTGATTTAAAAACTTTCATCTAAGGTTCAAAAACATTCAACTCAAATTTGAAAACTTTCATCTCAAAACTTAAAAACTTTCAACTCAAATTTTAAAAACTTTCAACTCAAATTCAAAACTTTCAGCAGCAATTAAAGATGAAAGATTCAATTTCTAAAATAAAAAGATCACAAAAAAAATCGGCAAAAAAACATTTCACGGCGCGGCGGAAAAAAAAAGAAGCGAGAAAAAAAGGAAAAAAAAGGAAGAGATGGGACGCGCGTGGGGGTGGGCCAGAAACTCGCGCCGCTTGTGCTAATAGCGCATACGCGCTAATTAGCAATTTCGAAGAATGAGGCCTGGTTTAGTTGGGGAAAAAAATTTTGGGTTTGGTTGTCACATCGGATATACGGAAACATATTTGAAGTATTAAACATAGTCTAATAACAAAACAAATTACAGACTCCGCCAGAAAACTGCGGGACGAATTTATTAAGCCTAATTAATCCGTCATTAGCAAATGTTTACTGTAGAACCACATTGTCAAATCATGGCGCAATTAGGCTTAAAAGATTTGTCTCGCATTTTACATACAATCTATGTAATTGTTTTTTTCCTACATTTAATACTCCATATATGTATCCAAACATTCGATGTGATAGCGTGAAAATTTTTGTTTTGGGAACAAAACAAGGCCGAATCACGCCTCGCTGCTACCTCTAACCTCCTACCCCCTTCAGTTCCTAATTTGTTGACGTTTTAGACAGGATTACACATACCAATGAGTGATTAATTAGTGTTCCTACTTCCTGTTTTACCCCTAACAAATACGGTTTCGAGGTACACCAAACCACAACCTGCTCTTGGTTTGAGTGGCCATCGCATGCAAAACTAAAGCTACTAGTCCTAAGTTCGATTCTTGGTGTCCACTTATTTTTGCACTCATGCACAACGCCGGCAGCGTCAACCACAACGGCGGCGCCGTCCACCTGTTGTGCGAGCTTCACCACCATGGCGCCAGCGTCGACCTACTCCACGGCAGCGGTGGCGTCCTGCACGACCTGCTCCATGGCGAAAAGTAGTGCAAGGAGGCGAATAGAAGGCAGCGCCCCGCGCAGCATGCATGACGTTGGAAATAATGGGAGTAATGGCCGGCTGCATGCATGCAGGGCAAGCAGGTCCAAGATGCAAAAAAAAAAAAAAAAAGCTAAAACGTCAAGAAATATCACACAATACAATGGTTCAAGAGCTAAAACGCCAACAAATTTCAAACCGGAGAGAGTAGTCCAAAAGTACCCAAGTGACCTATGGGCCCGCACTATGTAACGCCAAATCAACCAATTTGACCGAGCGCGTACCACTTTATCTTCTCCCTAATACAGATCATCCTCTTCATCTTCTTCGATAAGCCCAATATAGATAGAAAGCTCTCATGAATCTCAAAATTAGGATATACGGGTCTACCTGCTGGCTTCATCCCTGCTTATTTGTAATAAATAAATACGAAAACGGTTCTTCTCATTTTCCTCGGTAATTTTCATTTTCATTTTTCAATGGGCATAGCATCTAAAGTATTAAAACCTCCCCCCGCTGCTCGCTCGTCCGAGTTTTGCGCTGGCGTGGATGCTGCCGGAGCACGGCACGTCAGCGCGCGTGGGACGGCGAGTAGATTTCACGGCCTCTCGTGAGTCCGCGATGATTCTGTGAACTTTGCAGAAAAGCCCTCTCCGTTATAGCTATTTTGATATATGTCCTCGCCGTACTTGTTCCTGTTTAAATATATTACGTTTAGACCCTTCTATTTCTACGAAATCTAATACGAACGTGACAAAAATGAGAAAAAAGGACCGCGCCCTGAATCGTGGAAACTGAGGGGTCTTTTCGTAGAATTTCCTTTTCTTACACGCCATCTCTCCCCCTCCGGAAACCCCCAGCCGCGTCAAAAAAGAAAACGAAAAAGAAAACGAAAAAACTCCCGGCCGCTAGGGTTCCATCGCCGCACTCATCTCTCTCGCTCTCTCTTGCGCGATGCGTCGCGCCGCCTAGATCTCACGGAGCCGTGGCCGCCGCCCACTCTTCTCCCGTTCAATACGCTTACATTTAAGAATTTACCACTTAATTCGTAAGCCATTAAGATTTTACCACTAGGATAGCGAATTTCTTCATTTCATACCACTCCCGTCAAATTTACAGCTCATCCATCTCCTTCGTTCACACTAGTGTAGGGCGCCACCGTCACCATCGCCGGGCCCTCCCTTGCCACCATGGCGCGTTTCTTTCGCCTTCGTTTGTCATCCCCGCCATCGTGCTCGAAGGCCGGAGCTGCACTCCATGCCATTGCGCTCGGGTGAGCATACCAGCGAGTGATGATGGCGGTGGCCAAGTTCGAGTACTGCACGGGTGCAACGACAATGGCGTGGTCGGGGATGGCTTCACGCCGCTGCATCTCCCCTCCTCCTCGCTCCTCTCCCCTCTCTCCTCTAGCACGTGTGGGTCCTACCACTTGAGACGAAGAACTCATAGCCAAAACTTGCTTCGCGTTCTTGAGGAGGCCATGTGGATGGATGACGTGGCAACGAATATTTGGTTTGGGGAGGAGGCTGAACGCCACATCGGCGCAATGTGAATGCCCTAAGGGTGTTCTTAGCTTTTCATGTCAGCTTTTGCCATCTTCTATTTTTGTCCTCACATGTTTTTAAACTACATAACGTATAAAATTTAGCACTAAACACCCTAAAATTCAGAAACAAGGATACAATTTCTCCCCTTCCATCATTCTCTCTATTCCCCAACTACCACAACTCAACAGCGGCTGGCAGCACAGCGAGCTCCAACAGAGGACAGCGGCTCCCCAACCTCCTCCCAAACAGCGGCTCGAAG